CTAAAGAAAACTGTTTGCGTTTCATCTGTACAAGAAGGGCCCCTGAGAGAAAAAAAAAAAAAAATTCCTGAAAGAACCAGCTTTTCTGAAAATTTGTTTTTGAATTCGCTTGCTTTGGTAGTCATGAATAAAAATGAAGCCTCTGACAAGATTTTCATTCAAATCTAAGAACAGCTCTGGCAAGATGCATGTTATACATTCACAAAAAGTGTTCTTGAGTATACAATTAATTGCAGACTGTGATCTCGATTGAGATCAAATCAAAAATATCAGCCAGATGAAGCAGATAGAGGAGATCAAATCTAGCCAGGATATATGAATACAAATATCCTTGGATTATTTACATTTGGACTATTGTCTACTATATGAGGATCTCCTTAGTAGGCCTAGTGTAGAAATAAATCCAATATGGGAGCCATTAATAAAGAAAGAAAGACAAATGACTGTAAGTCTTCAACAGCAGTCAAATATAACAGGCAGCAGCACTAATCATCTGGAAGGTTAGTTTTAAGGCTCCAAGTTTCCCAAAGAGAATTGTCCTATGACACAATAGCCTAGCCAATGGATGAAAGCATTGATTCGTGAATTTTGTAACATAGTAATTGTAAGTTCAATCTCTGGACCGGGCAGTGTATTCAGTATGCCAAGAAATAACTGCACTGTACTAAAAATAAGAACTAAGATATCCCATGGGCAATGGAACGAGAACAGTCTACCCCTAATTCAGTTTAGAATTTCTGGTAGGTTACCCAGATTGATATACACCTGATGAATGCCGGAGGGCACAATGGCTGAAACGTGATAGAAATTGCAAAGATAAGGACAATAGTCTGAATGTAAATAAAGATAGTTTCTGATACCAGAAATTCAGACAGAAAGTATTCTTGGAGATTTTTTCCAATTCCTTTTTGCTTCTTTAAATCATCATAATGAAAGTAACGAAAAGAAAAAAAAAAACTATGATAAATAAAGAATAAAACTTGATGAAAAATTAATAAGGAAAATGGCCAACCTTATAATTTGGTGTTTATCTAATTAAAATGTCCCTTTTCTAAACTTCTCAAACACTGTCTCTGCCTCGTTCCTGTCTGTGGATATTGTTGGTATTAATAATTTAAATTTACATTTTCACGAGGTCTTTATTCGCTTATTTACATTAAACTTAACTGATTAGGAATTTTATTCTTTATCATGCCATCTGCTTAGTCGAATAAAATGGGCGTCATATTCATATTTAGTAAAGTTTTTCTTTCTGCTGGGAGAAGTCATATTGGCAGTCCTCTCTCAAGGACTGAACTTAGGACTTCTTAGTCATCAGTTTACTGCTCTGACTCTCTCAACTACATTGTATAAATGTGTAGTTAACTTTAAGATATGAATTTTAAACTGAAATTTATTGTGTATCTTGTATAATTTGACAATGATAAAGATTTATTATTATTATTATTATTATTATTATTATTATAAAAACTATGAAAATAGTATTTAAGAAGTTTAACTAAGTGCTGGAGCCATAGAAAATACATTGGTCAATCTATAGTTTATCTATGTTTATATCTTAGAAATTCTAATATTCTTTTTAAATATTCTTGAAATATTCTCTTTAAATATTCTTTTTTAATATTCTTGTAATGTTCCCTTAATATATTCTTTTTTTAATATACTTTTTAAATATCATTCTCAATTATTCTTATAATATTTTAATATTCTTTTAAATATCCATTTTAATATTTTAATTATTCTTTTAATATTATTTTTGATTCTTCTAATATTATTTTGATATTCATTTAAGTATTATTTTAATATTCTTTTAAATACTCATTTTTAATATTTAATTATTCTTTATTCTTTTAATATTTGTTTTAAATATTATTTTAATACTTTTAATATTATAATATTCTTTTAAATATTCTTCAATACTTTTTAAAATATTTATTTCTATTTTTAATTATTCTTTTTTAATATTATTTTTAATCATTTTAATATTATTGTAGCATTCCTTTAATATTTTAAATATTCCTTTTCCTATTCTTTCAATATTCTTTTTCAATATTTTTTGGTAGAGTTGCTAGTTTATGCATGAATCTAAGCGACGATAGCATTATTAGAAGCCAAATGTTGATCGAATAATTCTACTCACTTTTTATGCTTTCTCCTCTCACAGTAGCTTAGTGAGATACATCTATAGTTTATCGATATCTATATCTACATTAGATATTCTAATATATACACACTTGGCGGATGTTTGTCTTGCAGTCCAACTCCGTCCTCATTGGAGTCGCATATCTTATGTACAGAATAACACTGTACCTTAATTTGGATGTCGATCTTTTTTTTTTTTTTTTTTTTTTTTTTTTTCTTAAGTAAAAATCTTCATCCAACATGGATCTCTGCACTTACAGATTCTAGGACAGTTCTTCTTTAAAAAAAAAAAAAAAAAAAAAACGTGATTAAATTTTACCCACAAATGAAATTCCAGACTTTTCTTGCCAAAAAATTAGGTGGTTTGACTTTTAACCCTTTATCATTCAACACACCTAAACCCACCCCATAAATACCAGCTCTCAAAAGTCTCACTGTTTGCATGATGTTCAGTATTATTTATGCTTAAGTTGTCATATATTAAAGCAGAGTAATACATGGGGCAAGCTGAACATTGAGAGCCGATATTTATGGGGCGGGTTGAATGCTAAACGGTTAAATATGATTGATATTTACATGAATATGCAGATTGATTACAAAATAAAGTGTTTCTAAAATTTATGAGTGTATGCTGAGAGGTTCTTGGCTGAGGAAACATTCCAAATTCTAACTTGGTTGGGCCAGGAACTTTTCAGCTCCTCGTTTGAATTTGTCCAAGACCATTTAAGATGTTGACACAAGGCACTGTTTTATAGAGAAAAGAAAGAAAGAAAAGAAAAAAAACAATTCTTAAAGTTTATTGCAGCAACCTGATATAAAAAAAAAAATTCCTACTTTTTGGTACTGTTTTAGTAGAGCTTTTGAAGCTGCCAGATTTTCTGTTAAGGAGGAGAAATCAGTGGCCAGCAAAACATGATGCCTGCTGCTACTGCACAGAAGGCTATTGGGTGCATGTGTGTGTGTGTGATTGAATTAAGCAAAAGTCGCTGTTGCTATGCAACAACCTTGTAAAAAACATGCTTCAAGAAGTCATCACCAACTAGACAGCCAAATCATGATAGGTACAAGGAATAACCCCTCACCAGGGATTGCATTAAACTAAAATAGCTTTAGCCACTAAAATTGGACATGTGACTAATGGTACCCACATTATGAATCAAACATGAGTTTCTCTACAAGACTATGCAACAGAAGTGTCCATATCTTAAATAGCTTTGTGTTTAATAAATTTTTAAAATTATTTATCTTTTGTAAATGACTCTGCATATTATAATGCAAATTGGGAAAGTAATTTATAATCAGTGTGAATATGTATTAATGATTCTAACCTTTTCACACAGCCATATTAATTCAAATAACTCTTTAAATTCAATAACCTTTTCTGCTTATATTTTTTCAAAAGTTTTTATTTTAACCTGACAGTTAAGAATGCATTTTATATAAATAATTCGAAATAGTTGATACGAAAATATTTTTTATATGTTTCCCAAAATTTTACTTGTATGGTAACCGTATGTTTCATCATAGTGTCGATGAACCCAAAATACATTCTTGTATTAACCTAATGTTTGAAACGATGTAAATGATTTATAAAGCTTGTCAAATAAAAGTTTCATTATTCTCATTGTGTTTTGGATCTTGTGATTAAATTTCTTTTTTTTTTTTCTGTTGCTCTCGATCACATTATTAACAAATCATATATGACTGTATGGAGCAAGTTGAAAAGTTTCATCAACTGACAGGAATCTCTCTTCACCATTATTAAATGTTGCAAAATGGCATGGTTTGGCCACATCACATAGCATAACAGCCTCTGCAAGACCATCATGCAAGGCACTGATGAAGGCAGATGCAAGCAGGTATGGCAATGCAAATGCTGTTTCAAGAGATGAAGCCATGACAATACCAGAACTCCTGAGAGCCACCACCAACAGATCATCCTGGAAGAGGTCACCTATTTTTTCTGCTCTTATGTCCCCTGATGATTGAAGCAGTCAAGGCACTGATGCCTGACATCTGGGGTATGCCTCATCATATAGGAATGATTAATAAGCTAGTCTCTCAAACCATTATAAGTGTAATAATTTTTTTTTGTAATCATTTCACCCCAAGCAAGGCTGTAATGCCACTAATACACAAAGGAGTGAAAGAATGGTAAAAATTTAGAAGGAAACAGAAACCCAATCCTAAACAGGAAAAAAGGGATAAATCTCTACTTCTGTTTAAATTCAAATCTTGAACAATCTCCCCAAGGATGAGGGTGGGGGGGAACTAGAGGAAGTGGAAGTGTGGTTCTACAGAAGGATACAGAAAATTACATGAACGAAGCGTGTAAGCAACAAAAAAGTCTTAAAGAAAATGGCAACAGAAAGAACTTATACTCAGGAAAAGACAACTGAAATTCCTTGGACATATGATGAGAGAGTGGGTGCTTAGAAAACTTAACCCACACGGAATTAGTGAGGGCAAGAGAGAGAAAGAAGAGCAGCAATCCACTGACCTAATGAGCTTGTGTGAAAGAATGGCAGAACAGCGGTCTGGGGCCATAGCAAAGGGGTGGAAATTGCCATATATGACAGGAAGTTGTTTTTGATTGATTGATTTGTTTTTCATGACTTACAGGTTATTTAAAGCCATAAAATATTTTTAGATTGTAAGAAATTTATTTTCCAGATAATAATGGTTTAGCAATACACATCTTACTAATTAACCCATAGCTGGGGGAGAAGAGGTGGAGTCATACCTTTCCCAAGAGCATTTGTGTGTAAGGGAATATAACGAACACAACTGGAATTGGAACTTGGTACTCTGTTTAGCAATTTCAACTGATTATACATTGCACCAACCGCCCATCCAAGCTTACAACATCTGGTGTTCCCAAGCGGTCACCCATCTAAGTACAGCCCAAGTTTGAAATTACTTAACTTCGGGAATCGTACGGGAACCAATGTTTCAATCTGAGGTGGTCGTAAGACAAAAGGAATTTGTGGAGGGTCATGATTAATTATGTCTGGAATGGATGCGACACAGTAATAAGAATGTTAAACAATTTCCTCACGGACGAGGAAAACAACTAGAGGCAACAGAAATGTAGTTCTACAGAAGGATACTGAGAATTCAATGGACGGAGTGTGTAAGTAACAAGGAAGTTTTAAAGAAAATGGCAACACTTATACTCAGGAAAAGACAGCTGAAATTCCTTGGGGAAGGGAGTTTGTGAAAACTTAACCCTCACAGGGCATACTGAGAGCAAGAGCGATAGAGTGAATGGCAACAAGCTTGTGTGAATGAATGAGAGAACGGGGACCTGGGACCATAAAAACAGGAGAAAAACGTCTAAGAACCATAGTGAGATAGGAAGTTGTGGAGAGCCGTGATCACCACTGTCGTGGCACATAGAGTAAGGCTGTCCATATGAACCACTTTGCACTGGCCATTTGTTTTGCTTTCCTGCTGACATGTTCTGTTACACAGGCTTCTGATATTGTGAAATTTACCTCTATATCCCAGGAAAGAGCATTGGTAAGTGATCAGGTCTTTGGGTTGAATGGGCTAACAATGCCGATTTTAAAAGTACGAGAATACACAATAATAACTCTTCTTGCCACTAAGAAAACAGATATAAGTATTTGAAGTTTCATTCATTTCATCATTAAAAAAAAATATTCTACTTAAATATCAGTTAAGGGCTTGTAATTATTTTTTTTATTTTGGAGTCACTTCATAAAGGCAAAAATGTAAATATGAATTTGCATGTTAAACAATTACGAGTTGACCGAAGCCTTATGGGTGAAATTAAGTACCGAGTGAAATTATATATCTAGAGATTCTTGACAAAATACAAAGCAGAATCTGCAACGTTATCGGTCCTAAACTGGCACCTCGGCCTCTATCACTTTCCCACCGCCGTAAGGTAGCTTGTCTCTAAATATTTTAATGGTAATTGTTCTGTATCTGTCTATATTTCTGAGATGAGGTATTATGTACACTATTTACATTATTCGGACTATTGTCCTCATCTTTGTCGCCATATTTATTACAACGTTTCGGTCGTTGTACGCTTCGGCCTTCTTCAACGGCCGAAACGTGATAATAAATATGGCGACAAAGATGCGGACAATATTCCGAGTAATATAAATTGGGTAATTCTTCTGATGATCTTTCCTATTCTGGTACTTCAATTTTATAATTTTAAGCGCAGTACTAGTTTGGCAGCTAGGTCTCATCAGTTTTCCGCTGGAATTTCTAGATGTAACCATACGTTCTCTGCTAAGAGTTCTTATTCTCTCGCACTTCCCGCTTGTTGAACTCTCTTCTGGCTTGCTCTCCAGCCAAATTTGATCTTCAAAAATTTAAATACAATGTCAATCGTCATCTGTCTCCTTGAATTCTGGTCTTTTATTATTCTCTGTCTTTAATAATAGTTTTTGTTTCTCAGATTTTTTTTATTCTCAGTAACCCCTTGCATCTTAGTGACTTTATTACCTTGCTTGGGGTGAAACACTTAAAAAAAAAATTAAACTGTCAAGAAGCAGTCGATGATTGTGCTAATTCGAAAGTGCAAGCCCTCACTTAACTTAATTGGCAGATAGAAGCTCTCTAGCCTTCGATGGCTTTCTCCCTAGAGATGGTGCATCGATAATAATGCCCATCCCCCAATAGCCTAAGCTACGAGTGGGGAATCAAACTGAAATTCTTTTCAAAACAGAAATGTCACGTGAGTTATCAAGGTGCCACAGATGAATATTGTCAACTTCGATGTTATCATCAAAATGTTGCGGCCATTGTATTCCAGCCGTCTTTTGTTCTTTTTAGTACCGAGTTATTGCTCTCTGTTTTAAATGAGTCTAAATTTGCACTGCTCAGCCCAAGGATTGAACTCTCAATTAGTATCAAAAGGTTCCCCGAACCAACGTTTTAATCCATGAGGCTATTCACCCATGAGTTAAAGATTATCGAATTAAAGCGTTGATACCTGATTCCGTGGCGTTGTAATTGTGAGTTAAGTCCGTTAGCCAAATTGTCAAAACTCAATGAAACAAGTCGAGCAATAACTGAACAGTAATGACCAAAAGAGATACACTGGGACATGAACAGCAGACGAGAACTCTGAAGACCTGTACACTAAGCAAGGCGTTCACTTCGAAATTCTCAGGAGGTTACCTAGACCGACAGACACCTAAAAAAAGGTTGGAAAGCACATGGCCCAAAAAGCTTTGGTAGTTACAAAGACTGCTTAAGACCGAAAAGTAGATTATATAAATCACTAGCAGTCACACCCAGCTGGCCGATCAGAAAAAAGCGTTCAATTAGAATTGAGCAAAACAGCATCATGTTTAGATGTAACAGAGTCTATCTTCTTCAATTACATTAATGTACTTACATTAAAAAACATTTTTGAATTAATGCAGTTACTGTTATGAACAGAAGTAGTCTGTATTTATTCAAAGTTAGCGAGGACATGAAGGGGTAAAACAGGAAACATAAAAACCCACTTCAGACCACAACAATTATTTTAGAGTTTTTGAAATTCACTTTGTCAGTGTGCTACTAGGGTTGTAAAAAAGGATACATTTATAAAGCAATTGTTAAGTTTGATGAAAATTGGTTGAAAGATCAACGAAAAACAAGAAAGAAACCAGTAAAAATCGCCATTTTTCGCTATTTACGTGGGTTTTCACTATATGGGTGAACTCAGTTCTCAAGTTAAATGACCGTTAAACAATCAACTTATTGTTGGCTACAACTGAGTGAAGTTTGTATTAGATTACTTGAAAATTGAGGGTCTTTTTAGTTCAAAATTTGTGTTGAAATCGATTTGTATTGAAATCGATTTATGTCAAAATCGCCTTTTCGCGGTTTTTCGCTAAACGCAGTGGCGTAGAAATAAAAATGATGCATTGTTGAGCTCGTCATGGTGTAAGTAACCTACATACCGAGTTTGAACGAAATTGGAGCTAAAACGTTTAATTTATTGATTTTTGATCGGCTTTATTGATGTTTTAAAAATTATCGCATTTTTACGCTGAGAACCTATCTATTACATTGTACAATGTATGTGCCAGGTTTGGTCAAAATCGGTTGGATGGATCTCGTGTGAAAAGGTATTACACAGATAGACACCCAGACATCCTTTTGTTATATATATATATATATATATATATATATATATATATATATATATATATAGAGAGAGAGAGAGAGAGAGAGAGAGAGATAGAGAGAGAGAGCAGGAGAGAAAGAGAAAGAAATGATAACGCATCATCCTTGAAATTCAGACAAAATTTGACGACTTTTCTTCTATGCGTCAAGCATTGTCATTTAAAAAGATTAGGCATCTGCCATAGAATGGTATTCAGCAAGCTTTTTTGTTTGGTACCTTGACTTCAAGAATTTAAGCTCAGTATTAGATTTGCAGAATGATAGCATCGTTTTTACGGTTGAAATTGCTAAGTGGAATCGTAACTTCTGCGCTAATGTTTTTTTTTTTCCGCACTTTTCGCTTTTAGGATTCTGTTCCAGCGTTTTCCATTCCTGTCAACAACGATCTTCAAAAATTTTAGTGTCGCCTGTCTCCATGAATTCTTACACTTTTAATGTCTTCTCTCTAGTCAAAGTTTTCTCCGTTTCTTTCAATCTCACTAACCCCTTGCGTCTTGATGTCAGATTTTAAATACTCTTTATCCGCGGGTTTACTTTTAGCAGTTTAAGTTATTCGAGGTCAACCGCGGAAATAAACAATTCGCTAGTTTTACATGATAACGGCCCCAAATTGCAGAATTACTGATTCTGGCAATATGGACATGCCAAAGTGAATCCACAGAGTTATAGAAACTAAGAAGAGGTTTCGTCTGTTTGTGTGTGGAGGGGGGGGTGAGAAGATACTGGAAAATGCGCCAAAGATTTTTAGACTCTAAGCGTCATTTCAAATTTGTAAAAACATACAAATCCCATCATCTTACATTCGGACGTAGTAGTAGACAAAACACATGATTGAAAAAAGAAAAAAACAACACTTTTTGAATTAATAAGGAATGAAAACAAAATTTACTCGATGCCTTTCGGATCTCCCAACAGGCTATTAAAATTTTACTCGCTTTGACTCCCACATTTAACTTGATACCATCTGCGCACTTCTCTTCACTAAGAAGACGCCAAAAGAATTTTCCAAAAGTACTTAAAGGTACATAAATTTAAAATGATGCTACTCTTTTTACACGCATACATACATTATGACTGCACAACACTCATCTCATATTCAAAACATACTCGGATATCATCGAAACCTGATTTGTATAACAATGTAAAGAAATGTCTTTCAATCTTTTCTGTCTGAATTTCTGGGATGAGGAGTTTTTACTGTTTACATTATTTACATTCAGACGAAACAATTGCTGAAAGAGTCTATCAGGCTTTCGATAAGAATGATGAAGCTCGGGCTGTTGCTTTTGACATCTTGAAAGCCTTTGAGGCCTTTGGCATACAGGTCTTCTTCACAAGTTGAAAGACTATTGTATTTCTTGATAAATGTTTGAACTGATTCAGTCTTTCTTATCAAATCATGAAATTAATGTTATCTTGAATGGCCACTCTTCTAGATCTTTTTGCATTAATGCAGGTGTCTTCAATGACCCTATTCTTGGAACTACATCAATTCGGTACCTATGCTCATGATACAACTGTGTATCTATGTTGATTATACTACAGTGTATCTATACTGATGATACAACAGTTTATCTATGCCTATGGTACATCTGTGTATCTAAGCTGATTGTACAACTGTTATATGCTGATGACACAGCTGTTTATCTATACTGTTAATACAACTGTGTATCAATGCTCATGATGCAACTATGTAAGTCTGATTGGGTCAACAAGGATAAATTGGCAACTAATCTAAAAGATGACCCAAAATCTGTTGAAAACTAGAGCAAGGAATGGCTTGTTAATTGTAATGCCTCCAAAATGAAA